TGTGTTTTTCCTTTCTGACAAGGGCGGCACCCAAACTCAGAAACTGGCACAAGACCTGGCCGATCTCCACCCCTCTTTCCACACCAACAAGGCACTCTTTCCAAACGTTGAAGCCCGCCAGCGCCAGGAAAAATCCACCTCAGGTCAAACATCAAACACGCTGAGAATGCCGACACGCCCGACCCGAAGCTTGAAGAGGTTTTACTAATCCAAATAGGAGGTTTTATAAATCAAGAGTCTCCAAAATATATGTATATAAAGTATATATGAATTCTGAAACATATACCCGGCACACTCCCTCCGACAATCATGGAAGTGGACTGTCTGCACTGTCTGGCCCCTGTGAAGATGCTTTTCCTCTACAAAGCAGGGAATTGTCCACGTCCATTGGGGGGGCAAACGTTTTGAAGTTCTTTGGTGCACCTCCCCTGTGTGCGCGAGCCTACCTGCATCCTTCAACAGTGCTGCAATTGACATCACGCTTCAAAGGATTCCAGCTGGTCTCAGGAAGATCAAGCTCAGCGCATTCAGCACTGAGCGTCGAGCCAGCTTGGTTTGGTTCTCCATGGTTCTCCCACTTCCTCAAGTGAAAAGCCTCTTCTAAATCCTTTCCCCTAAGAAGGTACTGCCACACTGACTCTGTCACTCTTTGTCTCAGCGCTCGCTCTTGGAGAAGGGCTTCAGTCATGTCAGCATCAACATTTCGCCACTCTTCTCCCACCTGCTGTTTGATTTCATGTTTGCCAGTCTGAACTCGAATCCGCCAGTGTGTCTTTGGCGGCGGGCCAAGCAATGGTAAATATAGCCACAGCTCACGTTAAGCGAATCAGCTGCACTTTTGAAGTGCTGCCACGACATCTGGTCTCAACAGATTTTGCATCAGACCTGGGGAGCATGTCATTATGCACGTAGCAGTGAACCATGTTTTCAGCATGTGTAACATATTCCAAGTGTTCAACTGCGTTGTTCCCTTTGTCCAAATCTTTATGACTCACAAACCGCTGCTGGTGGCTCACAGGTGGCCCCAGAAAAGAAAAAACAACAAGGTGATGGACATTAGTACGCTGGAATCTTAGTGTTAGGGCGGTCACGTAGCACCCTTGCTTTGAAAGAGAACCCCTTGAAATAATGCCATTTTGTGACCGTATCCTGCCCAGTGAGCTCACCTTCCTTCCAGGCATGTCTCTGCCGCACATCGGGTCGATAAGAGGTCGCCACTCCTCCCCTTCTAGCTTGGCATGTGCTTCGTGATCAGCGAATCGGTGCCCTCATAACGCTTTGCTGCTTTCCCATGGCGGCAGGCCCGTCCGATGTATGCTAAGCAATTCTGCTGCTGAAAAGCATCGAGGACGAGGTGGTCCAGCGTCCTTGGACCCCACAGCTCTCCACATCACAGACCTCTGAGATCCGCCTCTGTGCGCCTTGGTTTTGCATAGGACTCAAGCACGTTCTGCCTTGGCGTCACATCTTCGAGGTTTTCCAAGCGATTGTTGGCCATGTGACCATCCCGGTGGTGCACCTGCCATGTCTCAAAGGTTGGCGGCGGTCCCGGGAAAGCAAAAGCCACCAAGCGATGGACATAGCAACTAGTTCCCAGGATGTTGACTCTGCACAAGCTTTCAAGGACCCCCATGAGATATGTCCCCCCTGGTGTTGCAAACGCGTCCGTGCGAGCTTACTTGCCACTGCTTGTGGGGTACTTTGAGTGGCAAACTGGCCAGCCACCGCAAGCCTGTCAGAAATGAAGAAGTTCTGCTGCCCATGCCCGGGCGCCCAAGTACACAAGCAGCAACTGTCATGGGTGTATGCATGCGCTCTACTTGGTCTATGCGTCCCAAACTCCGTCCGTTATAAGCTTCTTCTGTCTGTCCTTTCCGAGTATAGAATTGGCCTTTGCTTGTGCCGAAGTTGGCAGCGGCCATAAAGGGTTTCACTACAAATCAGAAGCCTGTCCCTACACAAAGACCCAACAAAAAGAGAGAGGACTAGACGCACTAACATGTAAAAGAACGACATAGTGACTGCAGTCAAAGACCATGTAGCATCATGTAGTTATATACTAGTTGCAGCCACCCATTGACATAGATGCAGGTCTTACTTTACAACATCTTACAAAATAATTCATTCTGGCATAATCTCAGTTTTGGTGTCAAAATGTGAGGGAACGTCCGTACATCAGAGGGTTGCACCACAGCCCGCAAGGGCAAATCTTATGCAAACCGCCACTACGCTGCACAACAAAAAGCACCGAAACATCGGATAAACTCAAGTGACTGCTAGGAAACACTGAGTATGTTGAAAGCCCGTTGTCACAGAGAGTTTGCCCCACCATCCCGGCAGCCACAATCATCCACACCAAAGCAAGGTTGGGACACCGGACTATATAATTACCTCACAAACATTGTGCGGACCCTGCCTATGCGGAAGAGTCCTTTTTCCATCTTTTTCCCAAGGCTTGTGGAAGAAGGACTCCTCATCTGCCCATGCCCACGATAAAAAAATCAAATGGAGAACACGTTGAACCAGAGAACCTTGGAAGTCACTATAGACACTGCCACCGGTCATGTCGTCAAAACCCAATCCTTTGGCTTTGGCTTGTGTAACAATGACAACACATCACGGTCAACCATTACATCCACGAATTTCCATCTGCCCCCCATTACCTGCTCCAAGTCCTTCCCCTTCTCCAATCCAGGTGACCGAGGACTTGCTTCGCAAAAAGTGAGTGCCCAAAGCGCACCAGCAACAGCGTGCCCAATGGCAGGGTGGCCCTTAGTAGCCACCCATTGGCTCAACAAGAACAAGTGGACCCGACGAATAGGCCTCTGCACGGGTCCGTCTTCGAACAGGAAGACCACTCGATCAGCCAGCTGCATCCCATCACCGCAGGTCCCTAAGATCAAAGGTGGGCTACACTGCTGCACTTTTTGAAACAGCTACCCCGTTTAATTGACTTCAAAGCCCTTAGCTTCAATCCCTACAGAGATTATATATAGAGCAATTGTTTCTTTGGAGCACGTGACACTTGAACTTCTCCATGGTCTCCATGTCGCCGGTCCATGAGGACTGTGTCACCGCACCCCAGGCACGACCCCGAAATCGACCGAAGGAACCAAGTTAGGGGCATGAAACATGAACCACCCACTCTTATGGTTTCTTCCCTTCCATTTGCACCCCCCCCACCAAGCCATATGATCTAGACTTGGATCTACAAGATCTCCTTCTCCCCCTTTTCTCCGACCTTGGAGACTGAGGTTTTCTGCACCTGAACCTTTTCCCCAAGCGGCAGGAGCGGCACCACGGAGACCAGGAGGAGACGAGGACGCAGAGATTTCCGCAACAGGACCATCTGCAGCAGACTGCAGGGCACCTCTTGCAGCACGATGTGGAAGACCTCGCAGGCACCGTCACCGCCACCCCGTTGCCTGCGACCCCACCGCGACCGGCGCCGCGACTCCCCGTGCAGCGCGTCATCTCGGTGACCGAGGCGCGGCCATTTCTAAGGCTCCGGAGCTCAGGTTCAGCACGGAAGACAGTTGCCAGGAGATCTCCTGAGCTCGACTGAGTTGGGAAAAAACCGAGTTGGTTTCAAACATATGTTTTGTCTTCGCGGGCAGGAAGGATGGGGCAGGTTTTTCTTATTATTAAACATATTGTCATGTCAGTGCTCTACAAATCGTCCGGACCAGAAAGCCACCGTGAATGGCTCAAAGGCTACCCTTGGTCTGATGGTCTGACATACTGTAGTTGGTTCTGATACATCCTAAGCTACTAGACCCCAGCCATATCATATCTTTGTAGTCAACTACCAAGCCACTCCAACCTGCACCCCAGCACCCCAACCTTGCTTTCTCGAATCGGGGACCGTCTTCCCCTAAAACACCTCAGAGTGTTCCCTCCAACCTCCGAAACTAAGAGCCACTCTCCGGTCGGTCCGTTTGGTCCAAGCTTCGTAGAGGATCGCCGGGCCAAAGCCCAAAGTGGCTCCAGAAAGCTCTGCCAAAAGAGCAGTGGAAAAGGAGATTAACACCATGGTGGCCATGGCGTTAGCAGCTAGTTGAGGCTAGGTGATGCTAGGTGTCTGTTTTTGGCTTCACCTGTTCTTTGATGTTCTTTGAGGTCACTAGTCAGTGAAGGCTGCACAAAATCACAAAATGTCCTTTTGTGGATCATCGTGCTAAGAACCCTTTCCTTGAAAAATCGCTCACGTGGCTCCTTACCTGCCGATGTGACAAAAGTCTGGAAAGAAACGGGTCGTAGATCAGTTCTTCGAGTTCCTTAAAGTCCCTTTTAGATCGATGAGAGGAGATCCCAAGTAGTGGTATAGGGCCAGTCCCTTGGGCACCCAAACAGGATGGTCCTGGTAATGCCTGTTGACAAGGATAGGTGCATCATGATTCCGGTCTGCTTTTCTAGTGAATCGGGTGGAGGGGCGGCTGGTGGTGGGTGGCTTGAGCTACCCCAAGCTTGACTTTCATCACCTTGCAGGGCCCAAATGGAGGGTAGTAGCTGGTTTTTCGAGGTCAAAAAGTTCAAAAAGAATCGAAAAGAGCCTTGGATCAGTTCTGCAACATTTGCGGGCGAACTCTTGGGAGAACTTTTGAGGAGGTTGAGTCTTTGTTCCACACTGGGGGCACCATGATTTGGTCGCCTTCCCCAAGGTGGGCGGGGTTCTACCGCGCCCCTCAGAACGAGCCAAAAGCTGCCGCGGAGGATTCCAGGATTCGGTGATCCTTGGACTTGGATGCCCTGGATTCTGGATCTAATCTTTGGCATCTGAAGCATAAACAAAGCTCAACCTACCCTCCAAGTGACCTGTCAGGTCCTGCGTTTGAAGACCTTCATCTAAAACCGCTCATCGTTGCTCTGAGAAACGTTCGAAGAACGTGGATTCGTCCACGTGCCAGTCAGTCTTGCCGCATGCGGAAGCCACCCGGCAGAAAACCACCCGCGCACGCATGCCAGGCCGTGACTCACCGCCGCCGGGGGGAGGGCGGAACCTGAAAGTATCCCAAGTTGCCCATGACGATGGTGTCGTCGGATGCCTCTCGTCGTTGCATGCTGTCTGTGCTTGGTCAAGAAGACGGTCGGGAGGCGGAGGTCTGGGATGGGTGGAGGTCTGGAGCGTGTTTGAGTCACGCTCCCGATCACCTAACAGTCAGGGCGTCACCCACCACACAGTTCGGTACGCGGCCGGGGAGAGCGTGTATCGGAGTGGGGAAGACCTGCAGTGGTTTAAATTGGATAATGGGAGAGCATGGTGTAGCTCCAAATCTGTAGCTCGAAATCCTGGCACACTAAAAGGGCATTCATCCTCAATTCTCTCAACATCGCAGCAACTCCCTCGCTGCGAGTTCCGCAGTGTCGAAATAATGTTTCACTCATTCTGATTTTTGATGATTTGTTGCATATGTTTGCACCATATCTCCCGTACCCTCGTGCAGCCCCCATGCTCCGATGGATCTTTTGCTGATGTCATGCGCCTCCAAAGCGCCCTTGCCAGTGATCTCAAACTGCGCAGGCAAATGGCGACTACAGCGGGACTTGGAGAAGTGAATCAATTGAAGCAGTCTGACTGTACCCTGCACCAGTTCATAGAGGAAACACGAAGAAACTTATAGATCTCATCATAAAGTCTTTCAACAGAATCTCCTGACAGGCCAGGGAATGCATTAGTTTAGGGCCTTTACAGTATTACGATGTATTACGGTGTCCCGTCGGCCCAAGCACCTGCATGCCCTTGGCAGTGGCGATGGGCCAACCCTGTGCACCCAGGATCATTGCTTGCCCCTCCACCTGGCGCATGTGTTCCACTATCTGGATGCCTGGATGCCAGATCTGTGGCACATCAAGTCCTTTCACGCGAAAATGTGTTCCACCTCATGTGGCGGACTGGTCGAGAACCGGACCCTTTGGTTCCAATCAACGCTCCTCCCTGGCACATCGCGTACGCATGCAAACACATGCAGGAGTCGCGTACAGCTGTCGCAAAGCATACCTTGGACAGTCGAGACGGTGGTGGGCCCTTGGGTTTACTTTGGCGAGGGAGGTTTGCACTCAGATGTGAAGACAGGTGTCCAAGACTTTTCCCCAGAGATGTGGTATAGAATGGTATAGATTGGTATAGCATCTCCACACCTCAGCCATTCTTTCATAACAAAAAAAGCACCATCTCACGAAGGCCACCCAGGCGACATCAAGCTTTGGGATCCATTTTATTGGACGCTCAAAACGAATGGTGACACTTCAGAAAACTGCAAAAAGGCTGGTGAAGTCACTGCCCTTCTCCTTCCATCCCACCCCCTGCCGCCCTTCTCCTCAGCACCCCGACGTGGTCTGGCAATGACCCCCTGGGACCGCCGTCCGTCACACGGAAGGCGGAGGAGGGTGGTCAGCGGCGCGTCGTGAAGTTTCTGGCTGTGCCCATGATTGGTCTCCTTCCACAAACGGGATCCTTTCAACAATAAGGATATCTTGGGTATATGTCCCAACCTCCCAGCGCCCAGTGGATAATGATGGAGCCTGGTGGCAGGCCTTTCTCGCTCGTGGTAATTGATTACTGACTGTTACAGGTAATGGGACAGACCCTGAGAATCCGACCAAATCCCTTTAAAAAAGGTCTCCTTCTGTGATCCTGAGCACAGAATCTCGCTTCCCACGATCACGGTTGGGTCCAAAGCCTTGACATACTTTGGTCAGTATCTTACCCATACACTCCATGGGTATGCCTACATTGACCCCCAAACCACCCCAATGTAGGCATGTATGGCAGTCCCATGGAGCGTCTGGGTTATCTTACATCTCCCATTCCGACGGCGGATAGGACTTAGGGCTTCTGGGACATTATGAACTTAACCATGGTGAGACCTCTGGTTGCTGACTCTCGCGGGGAATAGGGATACGAAACATGAACTGTACAATAGGACGGTGAGCTTCCGATCATTAATTAGTAACCATTGTATGGGATTCCAGCCACAAAACCAAAATGTGTATCTGCTTGGTGATATTCATAGGGTGGGAGTCCCATTGTGTCACATCCTTATGGTGTTTAAGTTTAAACATGTGGAACAACCGTGCTTTGTACACCTTCTTTCCCACTCACAGGATTCAACAAACCCGAACATGAAGAAACAGCACAGCTTCCCAAACCGTGGCCGCCCTTGGCCACCGGCCGCCTTTGCTTAGCACGTCTACTGGCCGCAGGTTGTCCATGTCGTGCAACGCCTACCGGGCCGCCACCGGGTCTACCCGAGTCTACCTGGGCCCAATGGATGATGGGGCCTGGGCAAGCAGGCCGACAGTTCAAACATGATGATTTGCTTGTTTACGGGTCCTGTTACAGGTAAGAACGGACAAACCCTAGGCCTATATGACTATCTATATGCTGCTTTGGGGATCTGTTAGTAGTGGGAAAAACGACAACAATAGATGTCAATACCCAACATGTTTGGAATAAAACAGTCACTCAAATAGATCTGCTTCAATCCAACAATCAATTCGGGATTCCTCAATGTAGTTAGTCTTGACTTCAGTGCTTTACTGCACCTTCTGAACTCGACATTCACTCTTCCAGGGGCTGTTCCGTGGCGTACTCAAGGACGTGTACCTGTGTACCTCCATGCAAACACAACGACTAAAAAAAGGAACACTGCTCACCACGGAAAACAAGGACGGGTGGATCACCGCTATGCACAAGTCCTTTGTGTACCAAAGCAGTGGTTGCAACAAACACAACTTTGGCCAAAGCACGCTGCCTCATGTCCCAAGTTCATCTCAAAACCAAATCCGCGCACGTCTGATGCTAGCCGAAAGAAATTACGCACCTACATCTGCCAAACCACCCCAAAACTGCCCCCCTAAATACTGTGTGAAACTCTGCCCCGTTCGCACAAAATGACACTGCCACCGTTCGCACCACCGTTTCGCACATCCGTTTTGCACATTTCTTATGTGTGGTTTTTTTTCCTCAACAAAAATGACACTGCCACCGTTTTGCACATCCGGTTTGCACTGCCGTTTTCTCACTTTCCTGGGTCCATGGAACCTCTTGGCGTGGCGTGGACCGCCGCCAGTTGCGCCTCGTGAGCCGTCACGAGCCAGGTGGGCAAGGCGTGGACCGCCGCCGTCAGCGTGTGCCTCGTTCGCGGTCCACGGCAGGAAACGGGGATGAGTTGGGAGCCCACCATGCAGCGCCTTCCTTTGAAGAGTTCACTATGTGTTTTTTTTTTTTTTAATAGTGTTCACTATGGGTTCCTAGGCCCACCACTATGAAGTGTTCACATGTGTTCAGTCACTTTTCCAATGGTAAGCTGGGTCCGCAGGTCCTGGAACCACGTGAGGAAACGGTACTGTTTTCAGTCCGGTTGTTCGGCCCAGCTAAGTATAGATCCGGAACGGGACCCAGGTTTTCTGCTCATATCGCCTACATTCACCACCATCAAAAAACAACAACATCTAGGCTATATTTCCCTATAGGGCTCCAACCATATCCTCAGGTTCGGTGGTTAGACACCCCCTGGCACCCACCCCAACCACCGAACCTGGGGATGTGGGCCCGGAGCCCTAGGGTTTGCATGCATGGAGTGTCTGGAATTTTCGGTAGCGTCCTTGTTCCTAGTAGCGATGCCCTTTGCTCCTAGTAGCTTCTTTGTTCCTAGTAGTAAGGCCAGGAGCCCCTAGTAGCGTCCTTGCTCCTAGTTCAGACATCGGGGAGATTGAACGGCCCAGGGCTTCACAAGGCTGCACATGTGATCCACGAATTCCAGGGCGACGAGAAGGAAACCAAATCTTCCACGGAATCGATGGGTCTGGGTTAACTTGCTTGCTGCTTGGAAAACGTCTTGCCAAAAAGGGGTTTCCAATCTGCTCCCCTGCTCCCTTTCAGATGATTATCGAAGTGACATCCTTATCATTGTTATAATCTGGCTCAGGCTTCTGATAAACCTTCAGAAGCTATTTCTATACTCCCTTATATCTAGTACACAAGACAAGACTTCCAACAAAAATCATCAGTTGCTTCTCTCTTTCCATCTTTCCAATCCAACACCAAAACCAAACCGGCATTTGGCTACCAAACAAATATATTATTGCATATATTAATCAAATGTATTCTTTTTTTTTGCTAGACACGGGGCTGGCAGAAAAACAATACACCTATGCGCCCAAACATGGGTTGGCAGGAAAATAGGCAACTCAAAATTTGAGTAGGGGACTTGGGACTGCTGCTGTAGGGGACTTGGGACAGTGCCGATGGTTCCCGTATCGCACGACCATGGGGCTCCTGAGACTTCTAGACAGTTCTGCACGCTGGCTGACCCCGTTTCACGAACCAAACGGACTTGAATAGACTGACAATGACGAATGACGACTGATCCATACTGAGGGTCATATATGACAGTGTTTGCTGCTTGGTCTTCACAAATGGTACTTCTCAAAAATGATCAAACCATCTGAATCTAAATTCCATGTACAGTAGTATATATTATATATTAAATGTATATATATATATATTGAAATTCATCTGCTACCCTATCAAAGCTAATTATGTATGATTGTTCTACAGTTTTCTTTGCTTCAGGGATCCACTGCACACCCAAGTTGCTCCAGTTTACGCCACCTCATGGCTTCGAGAAGCATTCAAACGCCACTGCCACCCACGTCGCATGGCTTCTTCGCCGTGCGGCTGCGTGGCCAGGGTGAACTCTGCCAGGCCTCGACCGACCTGGCGACTGTCGGGCAGCGTCCGAGGATGGAGATCCGAAGAGAAGAGACATGGAAAAACCATCTGATTTCGCCAAAACACGATAAAACCATCAACTTACGGCATAAGTGAAGAATAGCTTTTTCACAAGTTGAAGGGCAATTGTAGGGATCTCCATTTCAAGGGTCGAGTCGAGCTGATGGAATCTCAATGGCTATCAGCGATTTGTTGATCTTCCCAAACCTTCCACGTCATCCACCAAGAGTTAAAAGTTGGTTCATGTTGGTTCACTATGATCCCCTTCTTTAGCCCGCTCCCCTCCCTACTAGGTTGGAGGCCATCGCTAGTAGGTTGGAGGCCATTGCTTTTAGGTTAAATCTCCCATCCACTTCACTCGAACGACTGGACACGCCTGCTGGTTGGCTTCCTGCGCCACCTCCGCCAGAAGCCGTCCATCGGCCAATCTTTCCGGCCAGCGGACTACCTTCCGCCACATCCGATTCGGTGCCTCTCTTGGGTTGGATCTGGCGTGGTGGATGACCATGGTTGGCGGATGTTGGATTCCAACCCCTTCAGCTTCGCTTGGGAAACCTAGAATCTAGAAGTCTAGAAGATTCTAGAAGATTCTAGAAGCATTGCCACCTTAGGTCAACAATCTCACCTTCTTTGGTGGTGCACAAAAATCCTGCCTAACAAACCTATAGATGTAATTAGAGCCTTTAGAGCTTAAAGGTCATTAAAGTGTAAAGGAATCGACTTCACAAGCCTTTCTATTGGCTGACATTTGGTGTCTGGCCAAGCTGTGACTTTCTTTTTGCGTGATTCTCCAGTCACAGAGCCAATTCTCAGCTTTTGGCGCTTCTGTCTCAGCCCCTGGCTCTGCTAGCTCTTGTATTTCTAAAACGTTTGATTGGCCCAAGTCAATCTCCTACCTTAAGGGGATCTCTGATCTGGACCGCTGGGATGATTTTTCAGGGCCTCCACCTGCATCGGGCCTCCCGGTAGTAGCGCTTGAGGGGATACTCCTCCACCTGCATCGGCGGGTTCAAGACCAAGTTCACCTTGGAGCGTCTGCGCGTCTGCGACGGTCACTGTGCGAGCTGGTGCCATGAAGCACGAGCGGGTGTAATCTGGTTATTGCGGAAGGTGTCTAAATGGAGTGATCTATCATGGAATTGCTTGATTGTACGTATTACAGGATTCTGCAGGTTTCTATATGGGAGTTGATCTAAATTCCTTTATCCGGGATTCGTCATTTTCGCCAAAAAAAATTACTTTCGCCAAACTTTCGCCTTCCTGCGTTTTATCTTTCGCCGAAGTACGTTGTATTTATGTGTGCCATGTATGTTGTGTTTTGTTCACGTCAATGGCTTCTTCTTTACTGGCAAGCACAAAACAGAAACTTCACTGTTTGTCAGCATGTGTCTTCTACTTAACTGTTGACACCCTGTACGTCTCTTTTGTTTCTCCTGGGTGTCAGCAAGAATCAAAATTGCAAGAATCACTGTAGTAGCCGGTCACTCAAACGTACTCATAACGCTCATAATGGGCTGGGGGTCAGATGTGGCAGGGTGAACTTTCGCCAATCTTGAGCTGAACTTTCGCCAAACTTTCGCCTTTTGCGGGGTAGAGTTTTGTGGCAAAGCCACCCCCCAAAGCAGGAGCAGGAATAGTAGTAGTAGTAGTAGTAGCCAAACTTTCGCCTTTTGCGGGGTAGAGTTTTGTGGCAAAGCCACCCCCCAAAGCAGGAGCAGGAATAGTAGTAGTAGTAGTAGTAGTCAAACTTTCGCCTTTTGCGGGGTAGAGTTTTGTGGAAAGCCACCCCCCAAAGCAGGAGCAGGAATAGTAGTAGTAGTAGTAGTAGTAGTAGTAGTAGTAGTAGTGGTAGTGGTAGTGGTAGTCGTAGTAGTAGTAGTAGCTGCCGCAGCAGCAGCAGGTTATCTATAGTGAGTTGCTAGCACTTAGAATTTGCTCAGAACAATTAGTTGCAGATAGAATACGCAAACCACATCAAAAACTAATTATTTTTAGTAGCATTGCAGTTAGAATATGGCATGCAGTTAGAATACGAGGATCATGCACTTAGGAGCTTGAACAGCTACAATGCAGCAAGCAAGCAAGCAAGGTTATATTCTAACTGCAGGTAGCGTTTGTATTCTATGTGGGTTCGCTGCATTTACCCATGACTTTTTTCCAACATACACTTAGATTATGACTAATTAGAGAAATCTCAATTAGTCCATATTCTATCTGCTAGCAACTCACTATAACTTCCACAGCTCATCTAGCTTCTGAGTCACTGCCACCAGCTGTTCAGAAAGCAAATGAACATTCATACAAAAGTACATATTTAATCTTTCGCCAGATCTTTCGCAAAAAAAAAAATTACTTTCGCCAACTCGAGAAAAAACTTTCGCCACATGAGATTTTGATATGTTCCGGGTCATCGTCATACACACTGCTGACTAGGACCTTTAGATCGACAACCATATATTGATGCAATAATTCAGACCCCAGGCCTGGTCTTGTTCTTCTTGCGGTAAAAGCCAGTCATGGATACACCGAAGACTGTTAAACTCTACTCCAGTCCTACCATTGATGAGATATAGTCGTCAAGGATAAGAAAACTGGTCTGGATCGCGTGAAATCAGGCTTTCAAGGATCAATCACCAGTAACCCGAAATTACTCTTAAAAAAACATCAGTCCACTCCACAGTCTTTCATTCTTCCCTACAACTACATCCAAGAAGAAAGCACCACTTCTACCATCTTCTACTATCAAGTGACCCACCTCTTGTCCAGCCCAAACATACCATAAAATATCCAACAAGCTAAGCTCGCTAAGCTCACCAAAATCTTCGGTCTCAGACCAACAAAAAAAAACATCAAAACACACTCACCCAATGCAACCCGGTGTCTCACATCCCCATCCAATCTTTAAAAAAAAGGCTCCACCTCAAAGTGTTTGCTTGATAAACGCTCCACCTGCGCCGTGTTTTTCGCTCCACCCTGCGCGCCTCAGCATTGAAGGCCATCCCAAAGAGCGCCAGGGCTGCTGAGGCGCTTTGCGCCGTGGTCTGCGGTGTGTCGCGTGGGAGCGAAGCAATGCGAAAAGGAAAGCACGAGGAAAGCACGGTACTGGTACTCAAGGTCGGTACTGAAGGTCTGGAGATGAGATGGTCCAGTTTTGATTTTACTTGTTTATACAAATCAATTACATCAAAGCCTTGAAAACATGGCCATGAGAAGAACGGAAAACCATGTGCTCTTTTCATCTCTCGTTGTCCCGTCTCCGGTCGAAAAAACATCCGAGTTGAATGGGTCGTTGTGGCCCTGCAGGCCCAAGGGGATAGTCCGGGATAGTAGAGAAACATCAATCACTTGAAACATGCTGAAACCCGATCAGAGGAATCTAAAGAAGAACAAACTGGCTGGTACTTTCAGCTTCCGCAGTGCTCGAATGCTCATTCCCATCCAGTTCGGAGAAGAAACTGCCCTTCTCAGGTTGTAAAACCTGCAATCAAACAGGCCCACATCCAACAATGACCGTTACCCTTCTCAGTTGCCCGACACTCAGCGGATCCAAAATGCCATAGACCCTAAGCAGTCATCGGCGCGGAACCACACAGGTGCAGCGCACGGATGGATCTTCGCAGGCTGATGTGTGTTTTTTGATTGAGAGGACCTGCAGGCTGTTGAAAGGATCAGAAGTCTGCAACTCAACTCTGGGCAATCCCAGTTGACTTGGCTGACGACTTTGCTACTAGACTAGTCCAAAAACAATTGAAACGCATCACATTGAAGATAAACACCGACACTACCCAAGACCCGGGTCACCCGGGCGTGATGGGTGATGCACCCTCCGGCTGTGCCGGTGGAATCTTCACCCTGGGCCGGTAGTTCCGTTGGCTCCAAAAGGAGTAACAGTTGGAGGGTTTCAAAGGATCGTTGGTCTGCTAGCCCAGAAGGCTCACTGGAGTTTCAGTTGCAACAGGGTTATATAACGATCCTCAAAAAACATCACAAAACTAGGGTTTTGGACCTCAACACATGTAGCAGTTTGAGGGAAAAAACCTTTGCAACTGTCAAAAAAAACAAATCAGATTGGAACGTGTTCTCTCATCGTGGTCGCAACAAACATTTTACTGGACCTGACGAGGACCCCGTTCGTCCGCAAAAAAAAACGAACCTGAAGGCTGGTGGTGCCCGTTTGAAGATCTTCGCAGGCTGAGTAAACCTGACACCATCAAAAGACACTTCAAGCGGCGGAAATCATCCGAAATCCAGATCAGTGGTGTGGGGCTGACATGTTCAATTTGTTGGTTTTACATGGTGCAGCAGTGCATGTTTGTAATTTAAACGCATTTTGGTGCCATATATGAGTCTTTTGGATGCGTTTCCCAATGCCAGTGGAACAAAGGATAACGTCGTTTACGTCTGGTGACTGGTGGGCGGATGCAAGTGGAGTTCAACAAATTCAAAACACATTTCAGTGTGCACATTCAACACGTGGGCAGCTCTAAAATTGGACAAGTCAAGTCGAATTTCCGGGCTTAGATGGGCTTAGTGGGTTTTCGGGAGCCAGAGCAGTGCAAGTTGTGTCACATACTGAAAACTGAGTCACTAAGTCGCTAAATGTCATGGTTTCAGAAACCTATGGCTGCTATATTATTTTGACTGCTCACTAAACAGCAAACATTTGTTCAAAAAAAACATGATGAAGATCCAAAAATTCCCACCACACAAAATGAAACAACACCTTTGGACTTGTGAATTCCACTCCAAGCCCCAAACAAGGCCAGATTGGCCTCCCAACAATTCAAGCCCATGCTAGCCTCGCCTGTCATGCTTGGCATGTGACAGAACCTGGCGCCAACCCACGTACAAGCAACACTGGACTTTGCGGGGCTTCTCAGGACCTCACATCTGATCGAACTGGCCCTTCTGCATGAAGCCAACGACTGAGCTGACGAATGACAACGATGTGGGGTGTAGCAGCGGATCGCGATCAGGTGGCATTGACAGTGCCTGGACTTGGGTACGAGTTATGGAAACATAAAGCAGTGGCGGCTCCAAGGCATCGGCTCAGCCGCTTTGCAAAGCCCACCGCCACTATCCAGCTGCACAAGCGCCCACGGCTGTCACCCACGCTGGCAGTGGCAAGATCTGATCACCTAGAAGACCTATACATATTGTTCAGTGCCGCTGAACTCAACTCATGGCCTATGACTCAAGTTGCCCAGCCGTGCTGTCTTTCCTGTCTGTTTCGCGAACCAGAACCATTCATGGTAAAATAGACCGAGCCAGATTGTTGTGCGAGCTACAACGACAATAAATGTCTTCTTGTTGGGTGGAGTGCCTTGGGATCCTGCTCTATGCATGATGAAACACAATGGTTTGCTTGCGTCCACCAACGACTCATACAACTTGAGGAACCCGCGAAGCCATCTAGTGACTGCACATGGGAATATATACTGGGAGGTAGCTCCAAACTCCAAGCAGTGTGAGTCAACTCAACAAAGATCCAGGAGTCAACTGATGTCTTTCCGGGGTAGGCGCAGAACACTGCCCAGAACGAGACACCTGATGGATGGAACAAAAATCATGGTATCATGGACAGTGACTGAGGGTCAAACCTCATCTATTCACACCTCATTCGCCATCGGACAAACATGAATGGTGGCCAGCAGGTCCGAACAAACCTTAGCCCTGGTCAAAATCTAAGCACTTTCAAGCAACAAGTTCGCCTTTTGGTTGCCACCCATACGACGAGGTCCACCTACTGATCTTCTCTACGCAAAAAAGACTCGCTGGTCTCCCTTAAAGAGAAATCTGAACCACCCTCATCTATTCCGTTCCCATCAGATTCCATGCCTTCTTTCCACGACAAATGTCCAACAACGATTTGGCTGTGGACCAGCTCATCATACTCATACTCTGATGTCCTATACTGACGGACAACCACTTAAGAAAAAGATGTTTCCTACATCCAAAAACCTTTATGAAGTGGGTGTCGGGAACTATAATATGATAATATATATATATATAGCATTGTATGAATTGCATGTGAAAAGCTTTGTGTTTTTCATGGTTTTGAGGGCCCCTGGTACTTGTAATATTATATCATATTCTGACTGCAAGCATTGGGTGGTCCTCTGCAGTTTGCCCCTCTTCCGACCAACCTCTTCTCGGAGACTCGGAGTGGAACCAACGAAGCCAACGCGGCCCCCTACGCTGACGGGCACCAATCAGGTAACCCAGACGGGGACTCATGGGACTGTGCAACTTCCAGCCTTTCAGGCTCAGCTTGTGACATGTACATGCATCCTATGTCTCTTGGCTCCACAGGAAAACCCTTCTTTGACGGCTCAGCCTCGACCCATGGCTGGTGCTCAGGCCTGACGTGGCCTTGTGTGGAAAAGGCGTGCTCAGGATCCACGGATCCTTGAAAAAAAGGTTTGATAGAAGACCCATTTGGTTGAGCCCGATCACCTCCTTGTGCTACCACCGCTACATTGGTAGCGGAGCATTGCTCCAAGAAACTTCCTGCTGCTCGAGAACGACGCTTTCGACTTCGATTGCGGTGTCCTCAAGCAGCGGTGCACCTGATCTTCGCTGGTTGCAGGCCATCGATATCTTCGCTCTGGCCTACTTCGAGGTGATCTTCGGCGCGCCACCTTTTATACGTTCTCCTGGCCGACCCCTACGGCTACAACTTGTTTTGCTTTGGAGCTGAGCGTCAGCTTCGCAGTTTTCCCCTTCCTGTGATGTCGGAGAAGGATGGCTTTGTCGATGCATCCCCACTTGGGATGGTCAGGCGAAGGGCTGGCATGGTTCGTGTCCTCAACGCCAGTGGAGAAACGAAGATATGCTGCATGCAAGCTCATCAGCAGACTTCAAGGTCCATCTCGCCTTCTAGCTATGAGCTGGAATCATGGTGAGTTCGACTCTCCGGATGGCACCCTCAACTTCCTGCGGAAGTTGAACTCTTCGCCGCTCGTACGAAGAACTTTACCCAACACGGCGGCGATCCTTCAGCAATACCTGAGCTTCCGCAGAAGACCACATGAAGGTATGGCCACCTTCCTTGTCAGGGAAACGCTTGGCTATGAGGAATTCGCTGAGTCGCTTCTTCGCCTATGGGAAGAGAAGAATGGCGTGAGCCAAAGTGAAGTGAACTTTGGACTACCTCCCATTGAGGACTCTTCCTGGGATTGGTGGTATGAGAACTATGATGAGGACCAACATCATCCTGACGAATCTGGCGATCATGGAGAACCTCCTCGTGACCCTGAGGCCAGCGCTGGTGAAGTCAAAACACCAACCAAGGATGCTCCTGCGTCTGAGTGTGCTGCTCGAGCCAGCGCAGGCTCCTCTCCAAGTCATGGTGAACCTGCACGACGTGCCCCCTCCGTGATCTCAGCTGGCATTCAAGCTCCTTCAACGATGGGAGTCAATGAGTTGTCCGTGACCGACTCGTTCATCATGGGCGTTCTCAGGGGCTGGCGACTTCTTCAAGCCGCGCGCCTCAACCCAGAAGAGACAAGAGACATCTTGTCGGCGACGCAGAACAGCCTTGACTTTGAGGCCATCAGCAGGGCACTACAGACTCTGTGGGACGAGCAACTCTTAGGTCATCAACCATCCTCATCGTCTTCTACACCCCCTCGTATGGCCATTTGAACTGGCAGTCCTGGGAAGATGATGAATGGCATGTTCCTGAAACCTGGGACCATGACGACTCTTGGTGGGAGTCGCAATGGCATGAAGAAGAGCATGATGACCATCCATGGCCTGATGAAGAACCAACTTCATCCCTGGCTGTTGCTGAAGAACCTGATGAGGCTCAGAAGGCCGAGCAAGCTGCTGAACAGTTGGCCTTGGAGGCCAAGAGGACTTGGGCCGAAGCTCAACGCACGACCCAACAGATGAATCAGACCGTGGTTTTGGTCAGCACACCGGCAACAAATGTTTCAACTGTGGTGGGAATCATTTTGTTCGAGATTGCCCCGACCGTCGAGTTCCGATGTTTGGAAAACCTGGGAAGGGCAAAAGCAAGTTTGGTAACTACAATGGACTCCTACCCCCACGACATGTTTTTCATGAAGGGCAAGACCAAAAAGGGTTCAAGCAAAAGCAAGTCAAAATCCTCCTACATGGTTGAACCTCATGACATGTTTTGGACCAGCTCCCGATACAAGGGCAAGGGCAAGGGATTCAATGGTGGCAAGTCCACTCCTTCCGTGAACGCCCATGCCACCCAGCACTTTGACATCGGAGGCCTTAAGCTTTGCACCTCAGCTGAAGCTGACCTTGGAGCGGCACAGCGCTCAGGGAATCCATCAGTGGCAAAAGCATCCACTGGAATGCTTGATTGTGGCGCGACAGCCGCCGCTCTCATTCAGGCCATTCTCCAGGCCGACAAGTCAGCACAAGTGACGATCGAGCCATACATGCGGCCGCACTTTCGCTTTGGGAACGGTCGCTGGGGACAAGCCTTGTATCGTGCCACCCTTGTTTCAAATGTGAGTGGTCAACCTCGGAAGTTCTCTTCTCGTTGTTTTCACTGCCAAACCCCGAAGAGTTGTCTGTGAAGAACATTGTACCCATCCTGGACCGCTTGGGAAAGACAGGTTGCCAAATGATGGTGGAATTCATGTCGGGCTATGTGATTGACGGTGTCGACAAGGAACCCTCCATCTACAAGCTCAAGTCCAATGCTATAGGGCCACTTTGAGTACGACATCGTATATCACCTAACCCGAGGTCATCGAAACCAGAAGGGTCATGCACGGATTCATGTGGACAATCAGTCACATCATTTGTCAACGGCTACTTTGCAGTTCCGTCCTTTGGAATTTTACATGTCAGTTGCTGATCGCGCACCGACCGTCGATGATCGTCGCAGTCAAGAGTTGCTTTGGAAACTGTATCAGCATGTACGTGGACAACACAGCAGTTCGGCTCTCATGCAGTCCATTGTGGACTCCAAGCCTCTCGACGACCGTGAAGTTCTTGAAAGCCATCGAAGGCGTGAGAGAAGGATGCTTCGATGGGCAGCTGACTTCATCATTGACACCTTGGACGATGACCCCAATGCCGATGTCTACTTTGAATGGACTTTTCCCTGCTCTGGATGGACACAACATCCAATGGTGTTCTTGGAACATGAGCTTCACAAGCGCTCTATTCCTTGGGAGTCATGTCGCATTGATGGTTGCAACTATGGCATGAGAGATCGCAACAACGACCTCTTCCTGCACAAGCGCTGGCTCATCAAGACCACTGACGAGCTCTTCCACTAGAACTTCAGGGCACAGGTCTGTCCAAAGAACCACCAACATGCCTTGATCGAAGGCATTGAAACCTCAAGATCGGCATACTATCCCCGCCGGATGGTAGAGGCCATTGTTCGTCACTGGAAGCGAGAACTTGTTCCTCTACGGCATCTCAAATACCTCACCACTGGCTCCAATGAGGCCGATCATGAAGATGAAAGCTGGATAAGAAGGCAAAAGCTTCTGCCTGAACCTGACGCGCTTCCAGCAGAACTTGTTCCTGATGATGGTGATCCTCCTGAGCCACCAGAGGAAGCCAATCCTCTAGCAAAGATTTCCAAGAAAGATCAAGATCAATGGTTGGCTCGCCTTCGACATTATCATCGCGCTGCTGGACATCCAAGCAATCGCAGCCTTCTACATCTGTTCAAAGATGCTGGACTTCCGACATGGAAGCTTCACATGGCCAAGACCTTTGTTTGCGAAACTTGTCAAAGCCTCAAACTTGGTGGCTATAGCTCTGGCAAGGTTCCTCCAGCATCGACACACTCGCTCTACAAGGCCTGGCAGGCTGTGGGCGTGGACGCCTCTGAGTGGTGCCAAATCAAAAGGTGAAGCTACGCTTCTTGCTGTTCATTGACTTGGCCACGAAGCTCAAGTCCGTCTGTGTGGTCAAGCAATATGACTTCTTGCAGATGCAAGGAGAAACGGCAATTGAGGTCATCACCGGCTTCTCTGAACGCTGGCTTGTGGACACGCTGGCTTGTGGACAAGCCAAAACCTGAGATCCTCGTGCCTGACAACTCCAAGACCTTCAAAAGTCGCGAGATGCACGATTTCTGCAGTAGCATTGGGATACAGTTGGCATTTCCTGCTGAAAAGGAGTCATGGGCACATGGCGTTGTTGAATCTGCCATCAAGGACCTTAAGATGACAGCTTCAGCCATTCAAATTAATCAACCACATCTCAATCCACGTGTGAGTTTGATGCTTGCGTGTGCAGCTCTCAACTCGACTGAGTACACCAAGGGCTACTGATGAGGACCTGCGAACCTTCCGAGAGGTTGAGAACTATGAGGACCATATGTCCCATATATGAGTCCCTGGTTCGAGCCCGACAAGATGCTGAAACAGTGGCTCGGAAGACAAGATCACTTCGAGTCATGAGCAAACTCAAGAACAGCAATGTTCGCCAACCTCTTCGCACCTTCCACCCGACACAGTTGGTGAAAGTCTGGCGACCTGAATGGCCAGCTTCCTTGTATCAAGGCCGACGAGGTGGGTCCAAGAAAGCTCGCGAACCACAATGGGTTGGTCCTGGGCGAGTTGTTTTTCATGAAGTACTTGGGCATCAACAACCTGAAGACCAACGTCGCCACATTGTTTGGGTTGTCATTGGGTCCCAATTGATGAGATGCTCGGTACACCAGTCACTCCTGCCGAGCAGATCACCTATGAGCTGAGCACTCGTGAGGGTCCTACCCAGTGGCGGTCCATTTCTGACCTCTTGCCAAGAAAGACTTCATCGACATCGCCGATCAACCACCAGGTGAAGATGAACGTGAAGCTCCTGACCTATATCAGATCAGCCTGATCCTGAGACCATGCTGGTCCCCATGCGCAGAGCTAGTTGGCTAGACAGCTGTCCCTCCTGAAGAGATGCTGCTGACCCAACGGGAACGGCGTGAGAGAAATGAGCTGGAGACAGAACTCTTTGGTCCTGAACCTCCACCTATGGTCAATGACTATGAACCCACGTCACCTGAAGATGTTGAGGAGCCACCAGAGAAGATTCCAAGGCGTGAGGAGACCACAACCTTTTCATCATCTTCTGCAAGGGCTTCATCCTCAGCAATCCCTGGACGTGAAGTTCCAACGGCTGATAACCTCATGTGGATCAACTACATGATTGATGAAGAAGACAAACACTGGAAGATCTTTCAGGCAGCCATTGCCGATGACAACGAGGTCTTCACCATTGAGCTTGACCTCGACCTGGACTCCAATAGATCCAAGAAGGCCTTCCTGCACAATCCCTCTGCATTCCTGGTCAAGAAGATGCGATAGTGAAGTTGTCTTTGGCAAACTCTCTAGAGAGCATCAGGCACTCTTCAATCGAGCAAAGGCCAAGGAGGTATCCAGCTTCGTTCAGAACCAGGCCGTGAGGAAATGCTTAGATGATCAGGAGATCAAAGAAGCTCTTGGCCCTGGCCGTGTTCTACGTGCCCGATGGGTACTTGTCTGGAAATTAGTTCCTCCTGAGGACCGTGCAGATGCCAAAAGGGATGCTGTCGAGAACTCCAAGACAGTCCACACCCGCGAAGGAGACCGAAAGACCAAAGCGCGCATAGTGCTCCTTGGCTATGAACATCCTGAGTTAGGCTCCACCGACTACAAGACAAGCAGTCCTGTGCAATCAGTGCTCGCTCGCAATCTCCTGTACCAGATGGTATGTCAACATGACTGGCCTCTTGAAGGGTTGGACCTCGCCACTGCCTTCTTGCAGACCAAGCCGACATCCGCAGATGCCAAACTGTGGACCACTGGTGTTGCGGAACTCCGTGAAGCTCTCCAAGTGGGACCTGAAGGAGTCATGAAGATCATGAAGAACATCTACGGCCGCACCACGGCTCCAAGAGGTCCATGGCTTGATTTGCATGAGACTCTGTGCAAGCTTGGCGGTCGACCCTGCATGGGAGAAAGGTGCCTTTGGATTTGGACCAGTGCCACCCGTAAGGATGAACATGGTGTTCCTCTGGTCATTGGCATGATGGGCGGACATGTTGATGATTTTCATCGTATTGGCAGTCCACATGATGAGGAGTGGGCAGCCATCAAGCGGTCCATCGACGAGGCCTACACTTGGGGCACTGCCAAAGTTGGCTCATACCGCCACGCTGGTACAGACATCGAAGTCACCAGAGACCACGACGGCGACCGGGTCATCACCGTGAACCAGCAGTACTACATAGACATGCTTTGCGATGTGAACATACCTCAAGATCGCATGCGCGATGAAGAAGCAAAGCTCACTGCTGCAGAGCAAATGGCCTGTCGAGGAGCCCTCGGCTCACTTCAATGGTTGGCCGTGCAAACGCAACCTGTGGCCGATGCAACATCCTCCTCTCTGAGCTTGTGAAGTATAGACCTGGACATGACTCCACGGGCGGGTGGTCTAGTGACCACGATGGCTGGCCCGCAAGCCAGAAGCGGACAAGTCTGTCTGATGGTCCTCCTTTCATGGAAGTCATGGAAGTTGAAGCGCAAGTCCATAGGATCCAACGATGCTGAAGTTCAAGCTGGAGATGGAACCGTCCAACTCCTGTGGACCATGTCGCTTGGGCTGAGCGGCAATCCCGCGAGGTGGCTGGCTTCGTATGCACCGACTCTCGTGGAGGATACGATGCGGTGCAGGTCAACGAAAGCCCCATGCTGGGGTTGAGCAACCTTCGATCTGCGCTCCAGGCGCTGCAGCTTCGAGAGCAGATGATCCGCGCTGGATGCTCTCTTCGGTGGCTCGCCAGCGACTACGACCTTGGAGACTCCATGACGAAGAAGAGGCCAGACTGTCGCTTGAGCCTCATGAAATTTATCGGAAGCTTCCTCTGGTGCATAGCTTTTGACCCCACCTTCACTGCGGCCAAGAAGAATGCCAAACGTGGCAAGACAGCGGTGAAGCATGTGAGCGCCGGAGGTGCACAAGCTGACTCTTTTTTGTGGGCTGATGCAACTTCCAGCCTTTCAGGTTCAGCTTGTGACATGTACATGCATCCTATGTCTCTTGGCTCCACAGGAAGGGCCCTTCTTTGACGGCTCAGCTCGACCCATGGCTGGTGCTCAGGCCTGACGTGGCCTTGTGTGGAAAAGGCGTGATCAGGATCCACGGATCCTTGCTGCTTCGGTTTGATAGAAGACCCATTTGGTTGAGCCCAATCACCTCCTTGTGCTAACCACCGCTACAGACTGCCATAGGACTGCCGATCAGGCCAGGGGTGGGTGCCAGGGGGGTCTTTCTGGGGTGGCATATCTTCCAGTCCCATGGAGTGTCATGGGGTCAAAAACAGATCCCGGACCACGGTTTCATGCTCCAAAACTTGTTTTGGGAGTCACTCCCAGACCATCCCCCAGCATGGGGGTACGAACTATTCCGTTTTGGGAGGCTTGCGGTGGCCAAGAAAAAGGACCCTTCGACCATTGATGGTCCTCGACATGAGTCCAAGTGAGTTCAAGTGTTTTGCAGTTGGAAGGCCTGGCCATTGACATTCCCTGTCAGGAGAATACCCTCGCCTTCATTTAGATCCCATCGCCTGCAATGGCGGTCCGCCTCCTGGTTGACCCAAACCGCTCGGCTCAACCGCCAGGCGCCTCAGAGCGGATCGCCGCCACCAGGCCGTAGACGCTCGCCTGCAGTCGAGTGAGAGCGGACCGAGTGGCGACCTGGGAATTGCTTGGGCGGATGGGCGGATCGTGTCGGGTGCCTTCATAGCGGTTTCTGTCTGCTTCTGAGCCTCTAAAATCCTTTAGAAAAAAAACAGCAACCAACCAATTTGAGGCATACCATGGTTGCATGAGTTGGAAGATCCAGGTATATACACTTGGATTTTCTTCTTTGGGATGGATCCAGTGCCGGTCGTCTGGGTCCACAATAGGCCAAGGGGCTACATATGGATGGTACCCATGGATGATCTGGGAATTCCCAAGTTGGGAATATGTGTTTTTTTGGTGGTTGAAGCTGCCGGTGGTGGGGGTTGGATGGAGTTGCTCTCAACTGGGAGATTGAAGCTCTGGTTTTTGTATGTACCTCCACCTGAATGCTTAAATCTCCAGATTATTTCTGTTCAATTCAACAAGTAAGATCGTTTTCAAATTAGAAATCATGATAAATATATAAACAAATATTGATAAATCAAACATCATCCACATATATCCGCTTATCTCATCCACGGAAGCAAAAAAACACAAAAGTACTCTGCAATCCTTTAGGATCTTCAAAGTGTTTGTTCTTTTCTCACCGCATCTGATAACAAATGATATCTCTTCCAGCAACCCGCTAGGTCCCCCAAACTGGCAGGCTCCCGGTGCTCTCGTTTCCGTCGATCTCCAGCCATTGAGACAAGGCCTCTCTGGGAGAAAAGGCGTGCGAACCGCACCATGGAACAAAGCAATCCCCCCTGTTGAGCATAGCGGAGCATAGGTGGTGTTTCCGACTTTTCACCCCCTTTTTTTTACAGCAAACTGAGTGACCAAGTAGACAGCACACATTCTTGGAACCCGCTGTTGGGCCTGTCCTTTTTGTCAGAGTCATGTATCTTTTTTTGCACTTGAGAGATCTCACCAAAAGAACCAACTGGGTGGAACTCACTTGCGCCGCAACTGGAAAACGCTGCACCCGTGGGAATGGGCAGCGAGTACTTTCATCTGCAAAAATCATAGTTAACTATGTTTAACTTCTGAGAACGGACTCAAATATACCTCATGACTTCTGTATCTCTTGGCACCTTGCTTCCAGCTCTGATCCATTCACCAAAAGCCTCACGTCCGTCGTGTCCGTCGCCTGACGTCCGCCCGCCCGGCGTGAACACGTCTCCGGTCCTTGGCCTCTTCCTCCTGCGGCGAAGCGCGGACGGTGCCGGACGGTGCACGTCGGTCCCAACGGTGGTCCCAACACTTGCGTCGTCGCAGACGGCAGGGCCGGTATGGACCAAAGGAGGCGTCGAATGGATAATTAGAGGATAGGATAGGATAGGAAGATAAATAGATAAGATAAGATTAGATTAGATAGATTAGCTAGATTATGCTAGATTTCAATTACCCCAGTGGGGAAAAAGAACAAACACACACCCACACACGCTTGTTCTTGAAACAAGAACGCAACAATAACAACACCAGGCTTCAACACCAGTTCTTTTTTGTTTCGGATCTTTTTTGGCTTCACCGTGGCCCGTTCTGGCCGCTGATCCAGATCGCTACACACGAATGGGCCGTCCGAAAAAACACACGAATGGGCATATATTCCTCCGCCACCGGTGGCACGAATCGGCCCGCCTTGGTCCAACCGAATTCGGCCGCCCGGTTTTGGGGTGTATTGTTGAGTTGATACTATTGGGATCTATTGGGTATATATCCCAACCTTCCAAGGTCGGATCCTGGTTCGGTCGCAGGCCTTTCAACAAAAACGATAGTCTATAGTACTCTCTCTTGCCGACTGTATTTAGATTCACCCTTTGATCTGCCTTTCAATTGCCGTTTACGATCTCCAAGGCTAAGGGGCACATCAATGAAAACATCGCTCCTTTGAGTATATGTATTGAGCAAAGTCCTCTTCTTTACACCGTAGAAAGTTATTATTCCGAACTCGTCCCCTTCTTTTTGTTGGGGTTGCACCTTCCCAAAAGGCTTCAAGTGGCGGTGTCCAAAACCGTGTCTTCTGTCGCCGTTTCACTGTGGGGTCGTTCAACCCCTCACCCATTGGTCGGTTAATGGTTGATCGGTCGTTCGATCCCATCGCGTGCGGCACACCTGGGCCTCTTCGCTCTCGTCATCGCTGGCGCTTTTCGAGAGATCGTATTGGCCCTGAGGTGAACGAGGGCCATGGGGTTTGGTTTGGGTCACCAGTGTGGTTCTCTGTGGGTTTAGCGAAATCAAAAGGACTGCTGCAGCTACATGTGGGTGTGCTTTGAAAGGATGCAGACCGTAGAAGGGAAACAAACCAACACCCACCGGTTGGAGGTCTTTAACATACTCGAGATTCGTTTCACATGACTGCCGAAGACAGTGGGTCTTTGGAGATACCCCGTTTTTCTTGCTGCTCAGTGGGTCTTTGCGACGCAGTCAGCACACGGGCTCACGGGCAAAGGCAATGGGCGTCTCCCAGGGGCCGAAGTTCCATCGATCGTGCTTAGTTCGATCGACATGCAGCGCTGAAGCGACGACTCGAGCCTTGCCTGTTGTTGCAATCCCTTGAATGACAACCAAATTGGTAGAGACATCTCCCAGTTGAACCAAGGCATTGGTTGATGCGTTGCCCAGTTCATGTACGACATGTTGATACAGATCTGATTATCACCGGCCTCAAGAAGCTCCAGCGCATGGACCTGGGTGCCGAAAGCTCAAGGCTTGACATGACAGCAAAAGCAATGTCTTGTGCTGTTTCTGCCGTTTCACCTACGTGCTGCTCATAGCAACCAGCCGCCTTTAGAACCAAAAGGCGTCTTCTCAAGATGGTAAGGTGTATGGCAACACTTGACGCGTGGACAAAGGAACAACTTATTAGTGAGTGAAACATGATGCAACATGGTTCACTATTGTCCTGGTATTTGTCAACAAGTTCTGTGGGTGTGGGTTGCCGCTGATGGAAAAATGCTCAACAATTCCAGTCTTCAAACTGACTACACAAATGACATGATGATGTGGATGTTAGTGTGCGACGTCCTACCGGATCAACCCTTACATGTGTTTCATCAGAATCCTTGCCCGAGTATCTCTCACACTGGCAGGTGCGGAATGAACATAAGGAAGGAGGAAACGATTGGCAGGGTTACTGGTCCAGCTTACGTGTTGAAGTATCATCGAACGAGTCAAAGGAAGAAATGGCAGCCTCACCTTTGGTTCAAAGGACGCATAGACCAAAACCCATGGGGCCAGGGGGTTATCTGATGTTGTCCCATTACCAGGGCCCAGCGGATGATGATGGTTATGGGACACAGGCCTTTCTCAAAACTAGTGACAAACTGTTGCCCGCTGTCACTGGTCATGGGACTCACCATTCAACAAAAAAATGACTATATATTTTATAACTAACCCCTAGAAGTCCAAAGACTATATGTTTACTGACTAAAGTAAAGGAAATTCCTTTTCGGGTCACCTGAAGACCATTCTTTTTATGGTCTTTGACTCCCAGGGTAACTGTATCTATCTATTTACAAATATCAACTATTTAACTGTAAAGCCCTTCATTTTCCACTCCACTAAACGCCGCGCAACTCGCGAAGTGCGAGGCGCCCCACATGTCGCGCGGAGATCGGAGCGCCTCCTGCCTGGGGAGCGAAGGTGGGGCTCGTGCGATCGGCGATCGCAGCACATGCTGGTACTTATGGAGGAATCCATTCCATGCACAGTCTGTGGTGCATCAGACGAGACAAACGGAGACGGTGGGTCGGGTCTCCGCAGTATCCGTTCTGACTGATGGATTGACAACGGTGCCAGCAATGCACGAGTCTATCACTAGGTAGTTTTGAGTGCCTGTGTGACCAAACTGCTGCTCAGATCGTTGCCAGTTCCAACCAAAAACGAAGCTGGTCCATGACACACTGAAACAAATAAAGACTTGAGGTTTGGACCTCCTGGCCAGGGAATCAAATATAAGAAATGAATCTTGTCCACATGTTCGCATCTCCCAAGCTAGCAAACACCGCAAACACTCATGGCCAGCACAGCATGTCTGCTCAGGACGTGCGGTGCATGTACAAGTCAAATGTACAAGGAAAGACGAGCCGAACACAAACATCAGCGCATGCAAAGAGAAATGGGGTTTCCCCCCATGTGGATGGATGTTGACCACACACATTCTGCGCAGAAGAACGGCGCAATGGCCGCGCTGAAGAGCGGTCTCCACAAGCGGAAAGTCCGTTCGAGCGGTCGAAAACGTGGTCGCTCGAGAGCTGGGCCGCACTTGTGAACAGTGGCCCGAGGCTGCAACCGCCACATGAAAACAGCCTGAAGTGCCACCAAGATCTTCTTACTCACCTTGAGGTCCCCAGCAAAAATCATCCCCCAGCCCCAAAAAGGATTATAGTTATATTATACAGTATGATCTATTGGCAGGTGAAACCACTGTTCAACTGTGTGAAACATGGTTAAACCACCAGACCTTCCCGGAAGACCTTCCCTGATCCACACGGTTCAACTGATCCCGATTTCTACCACGGACGACTGACGCGGGGCGGCGCGATTTCGCCTCCAGATCGATCCGTCGGCCGTTGCACACCTAGGCGGTCGCTCAAACACTGCCCGGTGCCATGAGGCACCCGGTACCACAGCGTCCCATAGTAGGACTCCTAGAATTCATAACCCCCCACCCTCCAATTTGGATTGAAAAGCCTCTGAAACATAGGGGGGGTTGATGAATTCGTTCTTTCGTCTACATGAGTCTACATCCACCGACATACCTTCTCAGGTTCGGCACGACTGTAGCGCACCTACATCACAGTCATCACAGTGTCTCAAAAATCACCGAGGTGTGGTACGACGACTGATCAATCCCTATGAAGAAAAGAAGAAGAAGAAGAAAAAGAAGAAGAAGAAGGGAGCATCATCCCATTTCTCCGAGGTCCGGGTCGCAGTATCGGATTTTGGCTGGGGGAGATTCTTCGATTTATTTAGTCTCGTTTGGCGCACCTCATACTATTCAGCTTCGTTATGGCGCATCTTGAACAAGGAGGCTATCTGCAAACCCTATGGGAGATATAGATTGGAATGATGACTCATGACTCATGATGATGAGTTGTCTGATGTTTTATGTGTCACACACACACATATGTGTAATAATTATAGTTCTTATGATAATTACTTAGTTAATTATCTGATTCAAATGTCTGTGTCATACAAATGTGTCAGTGCCTGTTTAGTGGTTCACTCCAGTAACTCCAGAAAGCAATGGGCAGTTCTAGCCACGCCAAGCAGTAAGAAGAACTCTGAACAAGCTAGTTTTGGCCGGACACCCGAGAAGCAAATTGACGAGATGGAACGTTGGAATCAAAAACAGTTGCCCTCACTGGCATAATTTGGCTGTATCCTACTCCCTGTAACAGTGTTTGATGATGGTTAGGTTGCAGGCATTCCGCTAAAATAGTGACTGGCTTGTTTACCGTTCCTGTTACAGATTTCCTAGGACACCCCCTACTGTAAGGCTACTTTATCACAGTCCAGTGATCATGATCCGATCAAATCCCACGATCCGCCCCGGCAAACATGTACATTCCAAAGGATGAAAAAGATGAGTGGGTATCTTGGATTTGTTTCTAGGAACCTGGACCTCTTCCTATCCACCAGAAGGGGGACTGCACCGGATCAGGGATCCGGTTCAGAACCACCTGCAAACAACAGACATCTTCCTCAGGAGTTGGGTGGATTTCACCGGATCCATAAGGAACACATCGCCTTAAGCAAGGATCCACAGGTCACAGGGGTATGTCTTCTTTCGCTTCTCCGAGTGCGAGTCCGGAGGCCATAGGAGGATTCCGAGGCTGTGTGAAAAAGCGTGGTGGGTGGTAAGCTGGAAGGTCTGACGCAGCCTCAACATGCCTCAACCACCGGTGACGAGTCACCAGTGGAACATGGTCAGCAGTGCGCCTGCCCTGTGTGCCCTGTGCCTGTGTATCCATATGGATGCACGGCCCTTCCAAGTCCCTACATCCGATAAAAACTGTCCGGCTGACCCAAACGCTCGTTGTCAAGCGAACTCCTTCATGTCAGGTGCATGGTCCACCCCAATCCCGCGCTTCACTGGCGCGGGTCCTGCTTGTTCCGTAGCTTGTTCCGGTGCTCCGCGTGCTCCGGATCCCATCTGAGGTAGCCGGCCCAAATGGCTGGAGCATCATGATCTGGGCCCAAGATGGCACAAGTGTGGCTCATCCAACCTCTTTCACTTTGGTTCATCCAGGGAGGGTCCTTTGGTCCACCTAAACTTCGGTCATCTATGTGAGGCCGTGTGAGGCTATTCATGGTCTCCTGCATGATGTGAGGCTCAAGTTGAGCCACCAAAAAATGTGTGAACTTAATGTCTGCCCCTCTTCACACCAAGGCATGCCTTTGAGAAACTGTTGATTGATCTCTTTGAAAATGGGCGCATGGACACTGAATATATAGCAGCGGTATGCACCGGTCACTTTAACTGCCAATTTGCGCAGAGTTTTGGAACGATGGTCTGACCATCCAACTGAGAGTCTTTCAATTGTGCGCCTGGGTCGACCCCGAATCGGCTCCAGGTCGAACCATGTATCCAAAGGAAGAACTGCTAGGATACCCTGGTTGATCCACCGACGGAACTTGCGCACCAATCCAAGTCGCTTCCCGCGGCCCTTCATCGTATTGATGGGTACCCGGGAGTCTGTGAAATATCCCAAGATGTATAGGGTTGGTACCCACACATCCAAAAACATGCACAATACACAAAGCAACCACCACTAGCTAGGTGAGACCGAATATCCGCGCAGCATCTAGTTGGGGTTACCAAGTGTAAACTGAATTACGGATCTAATTAGGAGGCGCCGGGGGTGTCAGGGCATCAAGATCTCCCCCCTTGTTCCAAACCTCCCGTAGCTTTTTACGAAAATGATAGCATTGGGAGTAATCGAGATTAATGACGGCGTCAGCTTTCAAGACAACCTGACTAAGCTGCATTGGAACAAGACCAAGTGGATGAAATGGAGGCTTGATGCCAAGATCTTGGGCGTATTGTTGCAAGGTCTTTTGAGTCGCCTCCGAATTGGCAAATTGCGGACGTAACGGAAACCCCCCTGTATACGTCCTCCCCCATCCTACTTGCACAAGACTGCTGGATGCGGTTTTGTGAAATTTCGGATAGAGACGAGTGTGACAGAATCCTTGTAGATATTGAATTATGATACGAATTGCATCAGCCTGCTCACGAAGTGATCGTAATTTAGATGGAAGCGCTAAGACTTTCGGATCCAGAAAATGATGGGGACGAGCTCGAGATCGATTCGGCGGCTTAATCCAGCAGGGAAATTGAAGTCCCGTTTGAAGTATGAATGCAATTGCAAGCTCATGCCATGTGATCCCTGATTTGGTGACCGCGTCATGGGTCCCGTCAGGATCCGGCCAACGCAGGGACAGAAAAAACTGCAACACAAGTTTGGCATAATCAGCACCCCACAAACAAGCAGTAAAGACATGAGGATGGATATCAGGTGGAGAGATGACCAAGGGTTGTATGACTTGATGATGAGCCCGCGCCTGATGAATATTGCCCCAATTCTGATTTGGAGCATCATTTTGGTTGTGATCATCACTGACTTTGGCTTGTTCTTTTCGCTGGATATGTGCCAAATTAAGATCGTGAAGATAACGCAAAACACAAAGAGTTTGATAGAGCTGGGACTGATTCCACGCTTCAACTGTTGCGAAAAGATTATGATGATCAGGGTGATCAGTTTTACGAGCACACACTGCGGCACGATCTGCAAAGTCATTACCACTAATGTCAATTTCCTCTACCCCATTTTTGGCATGACATAACATCTGATGAGATTTGATTTTTCGAATGATGAACTGATTAGGGATCCAATGGGCTTGGATGTCCTGTAGTAGATCACTATGAGCCATGTGAGGAGGGATGACAATTTGCGGGGTCTGTGTAACATGTCTAATTACATTAATGGCATATTGAGAGTCTGTGGTGATAATGACTTGATCAGGGATGGCCGCAATGTAGCATTCTCGAACGATCCATGCAATGGCGGCAAGTTCTGCTCTCGAAATTGTTTGACGACCATGAACATGCTGGACTAGGACAGTTCGGAATGGCACAAGGTTACAGTCTGGATTGTATTGGATGACCGACCACGCGGCCCTTTGGAATTCGGTCACCGAGGGGGTATCAGCCGAACCATCCGTGTACAGGAATATGGACCTGGTAGTAGTTTCAATGGTGGCTACACAAGGGACCTGACCACGTTGGCAAAGCAACGATCGGAGTCTACTGACTGACTCGTGCTGAAGAGGGAGTGGGAAATGTAACATATATGGATTGGCACGAAGGATCTGAATAGCTGATGGATGTGTGTTTCGTACCTGTTCAAAGTCAGGGCATTGCAATTGACGGTGAGAATGCGTATCAAGCTTTTGGCAGTATGGACAGTTACCGTCAGTTGTACTTGACCACTGCGCCTTAACTGCACCAACCTGGTAGCCACCGGTTATGTCCTTGGCCAATATCTTAATCTCGGTGGGTGTGAGTTTATGAAGCACCTTGTGGAACAAATCTGCATGGAATGGTACATTCGTAACCCCTTTACGATGTCGGATTCGATCATAGACAACATCATCCCATGCCCTCCGCAACCATTTACGAATTGCGCCAGGCGTATCATGTTTAACAGAAATGCGAATCTGACTTGGACAGATGACCAGACCATCGGATGTAATCTTCCACTGGGCTCGGTGAAGATAGCACGCCAATGCACCTGCTGGTCCATGAGGGTTACCTGTATGAGTACAGACCGCTTCAAGAAAAAGCTGTGCAGTCTCCGGATGATGTGTAAACATTCGCCGTAGGAAGGAAAGCGCCGTACAGATCACATAAAGGAGAGGGTCTTGCAAACGCAGGGACAGAAACTGCATGGCCAGCCATGAGGAAGCCTGTTGCTCGGGGCCGACCAAGGCCGTGGTTGCCGCACGACGCAATTCTTTGAAGTGATTTTCCCCAACAAGTTGGGATTCTGCTCCAAAGAAAGCGTGAGGCCATATGGCCGTTTGTATGAGTGAGGCCTTTTGTGGCAGGTCGGTAGCAACGTGTGTCAGGCGTTTGCAGCGGGTCGCAGCGCTCAAAAATTTTTCTTTAAGGTGACCTAACACGACTTGCTTGGTATAGTGACACATGCATCCTAAATCTTTAGCTGAATTGAGGATTCGAACATCGTCCGGGTTCTCCATGACGTCTTGTAATGTCTCCTGCCATTTTTCTCTTGCGACCTTAGTCGTCCCCCATGCCCAAGACTTTTGATAGTCAATCTGTAAGCGAAGATTAAGTGCTAATTGACGGATACGAGTAAAGGCCTGATAGTTCTCCCTTTGGGAGCTGGTCAGATAAGACCAGTTATCCGCATAGCAAAATGGGTCGAGGTTCGGACTTCTAATGAGCCAGTAGTAGGCAGAGGACAAGACCAGCATACTACAGACTGATAGGCTATCCCCTTCAGGGACCCCTGTTGTCATGGTGATGGGTTCACCAATGGCAGATCGTACCTGTAACCTCCGTGTCATCCTTGTCAAATTTAAGAACCAAAACTTAATGGCGGAAGGTGGTGCTCCATGATAAACAAGGAGGTGATAGATCACACGCCGGGGGAGTAAGTTAAATGCTTTAACCAAATCAAGGGTAAAACCCATCCACGCTTGATTGTGTTTTTTGCATGTTTCAAGCCGAAACTGTTGCATGAATGAAATGTCTTTGACCCCTCTATTAGGCAATCCGCCTGCGATCGCTGCCGGCCACCGTTGCCCCCAGTAACGCAAAAGTTGGTCAGCAATGATCTTAGATGTCAGTCTAGATAAGTAGCCCAGGATGGTGATGGGACGTCCATCCCCTATCGTCTCTGGTGGATTACGTTTGGCAAGAAGAACCACTCTGGCAATCATGTGATCTTTACCCAGGCCTTGATGCCATATCCTGGAGAGCACTTTAGCCAAAGATATTACTGCACTGGGAGGTAGCAATCTTAGCTCTTCGGCCCGCCAGCCATCGATTCCTGGAGCCTTATACGGCTTGAGTTTAGAAATAGTCTGGCTAATGATGTCAGATTGATCCCACACAATGGGGAGTACTTCAGTTGGGGGGATTCTTGCTGTCAATTGGTCGATTGTGTCTTGCCATGCTGAATCACCAAGTTCTTCTTCTTCTGAATCTCTGTTCCAGTACTGGCTCCAATAGGCGCGAAAAGGCTCTGTCATATCGGTAGCACGATAGACAAATGTATGTTGTCGAACCATATCTTGCGTGGGACAAACCCCCGAAATTAATGATGCACGAAGATGGCATGCCTCTTGGGCAAGTAAGATCAATTCTGCGGTCCCAAACATTAATTTGGCATAAAGCTTGAATTGGATAGGGGAATGAATCTGAATATGAACTTCACCTTTAGGACTTCGACGGAGGGTAGCCAAACATTCGTGCATGATTGGGAATCCTGGCAAAATTTTATTTTCGTCTGCCTTGAGAGATTTATAGAGCTTGGCACCTGATTTGTGTGTTTGATCAAGCTTGGCTAAATGCTTATTTGATGCCATGCGAAGTTTGTGTTCCTGTCGACAGTAAAGATCAGAATCGAATTTAGTTATTTGAAGCATATTATCCAGATCATTCCACGTGACCGAATTAATATGGACCGTGGTGATAACATCGAATTGCAGGATCCAGCGTTCCCACGATCGTCCATACCCTGGAGCTAATCGAATAGCTTGCCACAAGGGCAGGAGGTCTGATGGGTGACTGGACAGGTCGATATGTGACTCTTGATGTCCATGCTTTTGGCACAAACGTTGAAGGCATCTCAACCGTCGTACTTGTCTGATCTTTTGACGGCTACGAACTGAAGTTGACTCGCACGGTGGGTTATAGGCCTCTGTTATATCATGTTTCGACCCCTTGGGGATAGTGATCGGAATCATCTTCGGTTTTTGACATCGGCCACGAAATTGCCTAGGTAAAGACTTAGTTGGATAACGAAATGCATCGGTACGATGCATATATCGAATAGTGTCATCGACGGATTGTTCAATTCTCTGTGACCACAGACGAAGGCTATCGGCAGGGCTGGCATCGCTTATGTCATCAAGGTCAATGGGTGTTTGTGATTCGCGA